ACTCGCAATCCTCTGGCCTCAGCCTCCCAAGCCACCTGGGATTACAGGCGTGCACCACCACGCCCAGTCATGAGCACTTTTAATATAGCCAAATGCATATTTGTGTTTTGTTCAGTCACGGAGCCCAAATGCCCAGAACTGTAGTGTTTGGCTTATTGTATGTGTTTCACAAATAATTGTTGAATAGATTAGTATTGCCTTCCCAATACCCCCACAGTTATTACAACTACAAGGTTATCTAAATGGGAGAACTGGGATAATTATGAAGCAAGCAAGAATTTAAAACTAATGATTAAACTGAGTTTTCTTTATTGCATATCCCAAAAGTTCAGCCCAAGGAAAGGAAGGTAATGAGAAGTGTTCTCACAAGTTTCCACACATTGAAGTTTGGTTGAATGGTTCCTAACATCATTCCACATAGTTCTTCATGGTCATATTACCAGGAAGAGTCCACATCATTATGCAAGTAATTTTTCAATACATACCAAATATAATCCCCTCTTTGCATTTGCTTCTTGAAAATCCAAAACTGATGCACCAAAGAGGAAATGGGTTGCTCTGCATCAATCAAGGTGGTCACACAGAGATGATTTCTCTGTATTATAATCTGGTTCCAGGAGAAGAAGAAGGAGAGTGCATAGAGTAAAGAGATATCCATAGAGGCTAAATCTGTGGTTTGTAACTGTAGTTTTTCATGAGAATCTTCAGATTTACTTATCTGTGATGGGTTCAGTGAATCTAATAAGAAGCCTGGGTTGAGATCCACTGACTTAATGACAAAACCCCTTGAAAGGGAGAGTTAGTTAGTTGTGCTTTACACACAATTGGATAGCAAAGGAGAATTCTGATTTAAAAAAATGTGCAGTAAGTTGAGTGAGGGAGATAATCCAAAAAGCATTGTGGGAATGGTTGGAAAGAGAAGGCTTGAATGTTGAAAAACTACTAGTTTGAAAACTAATAGAAATTAACTTTGTCTTTTTGGACCTAATTTAAACAACACCTCGTCAAGCTTCTTTTTGGAATTCATTTTATCCTCCCGAGAATTTTCTGTAAATGTTTATTTCTCTCTCAAAGCTCTTATCAAACTCAGGCTCATATTTGGATTACATATCTGTGTTGCCTACTGTTCCCTAGACTTTGATATAGTAACAGTTGGACTGGAACATTTTCTCCATTGTTTTCCAAGGTTAGTATCTAGCTCAGAGATCTAATTACATAAGTGAGAATCAGTGTCAGCATCTGCACAATTTAATTAAACAATATCACATTTCTATATCATTAAATGATAATATTATCAGTGGATTTAATAACACAGTTATATGAAGTTGGATATAGAATTAGTACTATCCAAAAATTGTTGGATTTGTTGGAATTGTTCACTYCAACAATACCATTTACTAAGTGCTGGGAAAACTTGTAAAACATATAGAAACAGAGTAAAGTTTCAAATTTGGGGCCTGGACTCTTGAGCCAGACATCCTGGCTTTGAATCTCAGTTATACAACTTGATAGTAAACATAAAAGGCAAGCTAAGACCATGGTTGTTCATCCACTGTGCCACTCTGTACATGCTGAGTTGGCTCAAGAAGGCACACATAATTGGATGCTTTATCATCAGCTCCAGTCTTCAATATGACTTTATTTAAATTAATTTTTTTATACTTATTTTTTGGGAACTTCCAGATAATAATATAAGATTCTTCCTCTGATGGTTGGCCCACTCTTCCATATCTTCAAGTAAATGCGAGGAAGGATCTGATGTACCAAGTGGTTTTCCCAACTGAGGACAATGGAAACCTCAGCTATGGAATAACAGTTCAGATCCCATGGTTTGAAAATTTAACAGGAAAGATAACTTAGTGGCATTGGCACTAGTAAATTTAAAATTTTATTATACTATTTGTTTTCCATGAAGTAGGATTATCTTTGGAGAGGGCTTTTTGTGGCAAATAGGTTGGTAAGTTCACAGGATGCTATTGTTATCTACAAGATAAGCGAGATGCTACAAAATGGCAAGTCCAAAACAGTGAAGAAGAATTGAACTATGGCTCAGAAAATTCTGCTCAGCCTCATTCATCTGCTACTTGTTCCAAATCTCCCTATGTTCGGTTCCATTTATTTCTGAAAGTCTTAACTTCACATTTTGTTTCAAAATTTCCCACTATGATTTGACTTAGTAATATCTAGTTCTGCATTGTTTATATTAATAGCATCAAAAAAAAATAAAAACTTCATAGGATCCTGGCCCAGGTAACTGCCCTTTAGGTTTACATACTGAAAACATGAACACAAGACAGCCAGAGGCTAGCAGAACCTCCATTTATCACTGGATGAGCCCTTAAGCACTGCCTCTTCTATAGGAGAAGATTCAATTTTCAAAAGTTTTCAGAAAGTTTGAAGCAGGTAACCTATGTTAAAGATCACAATCCTTGGGCTGGAGTTATGGTTCAGTGGTAGAATGCTTGCCTAGCATTTGTGAACAAAATAAAGATCCAAATAAAATAACACCAACTTTGTTAAAAAAAGAGATCATGGTCCTTTATTTCTTAATAAGGAACAACCTATTCTGATATAGGGGCAAAGAACAAAAGTTTTATTGCTTCAATTTTGTAGGTCAAACTGACAAAAGCTGCTTTGTAACTTCAAAGAACAAAAAGTTATGAATTTCTGAGGGCTGACTTGGATATTGTTATTTCCTATACATTAGGGTTTAGCCCTTCAGAACTTCTACTATCTTTTCATAGAGTAGGTGCTTGCTAAATATTTGTTTCTGAGTGAACTAGCATCCCTAGAGAATAGGTCTAGAAGATGGTCCTCTGTTCCAGTTTTACATTAACAGAATATGAGAAATCTAATACAAAATTATTTCAAACACTATAGTCTTCTATATGAGTTCAGCTCCTAGTGACCACAGAGCAGGTCAAGAATTAAGGAAATTCTTTTTGTGGAAAAAAAAAGAAACAAAACAAAAATAAACTTTTTTACACACCAAAAAAATTCTCTCGCTAGTAACACACGAGTTCCATAATCATAAAGGGAAAAGATGATCGGAAATACTTTGGAGAATTGAGCATGGAATTATAATTTCAGATGAGAACTGAAGTGAAAGACTCTCTTCTCACCTATTAACCATTGCTTTTACTGATCCACTATCCTGGCAAACAGTAAGTTCTAAGACTCTGTAACAGTACGTTTTCTGGGGTTGAGGTTGTAGCTCAGTGGTAGAATGCTTGCCTAGCATGTGTGAGGCACTGGGTTCAATTCTCAGCACTGCTGCATGTAAATATATATATATATATATATATATATATATATATATATATTTACATACATACATACACACACACACACACACACACAAACACATCGTGGGTTTTCCACTACACAAAGCTGAAATTGCACCTTATATCCATCCCAGTTGACTGTCAAGAAATCACTTTTTTCTACCAAGTATTTAAAAGTGTAAATTTATATTTCTTGGCAATGATCATGATCAATGATCAAATAAAAGATTCTTAGTTGAAGTAGAGCCTCCCTATCTCTAGCCATATGTGAATGTATCTCAAAATAGATGAAATTTGTAAACATTTCTTTGGATCTCCTATGAACATCATGTTTTGCAGGAAGTTTTCTGCTTCTGATGTGAAGCAGATATTGAAATTAATCCCTGTAGTTGTACTTGTATGAGCCTTATGAAATGAGAAGCAGAGAACTCTACTAGAGAGGAAATAGATTTTTTCCTATCTTCTGCTCTTTTTTCTCTCTTTTTTCTCATATTTCCCTCAGTTTTTACCCTTCCTTGCTTTTTTATACTAACATAATTATCAATAGTCACTTGTTAATATATCCATCACACATAGTATACAGTGCTAATAGGGAGAAAAAATTCTCCCAGTAAGATGATCTTGTATAATTTCTGTGATGTCAGACACCCATCGTTACTTTTGCTTTTCTTTCCTTTCTAAGCTCCACAACGAATCATCACTATTCATCAAATATTTGAACTTTACCTGTCATTCAACTAAAGATCTACTGTGCTTCATGAAAAGTTGGATGTATAATGTATAATTTTGTTTTGTTCAAAGAATTTTAGAATAAAGATATTCTTCATGCATATTTTAAAAAATGTACATCAATTTATTATTTTAGGTGATGTAAAATAGTGAAAAACAATTTATTTTCTAAGATGTCAATGAAACATCTGATTTACATCCAACACGAATAATAGGTTCAGGAGTGAAAAAATAAATTGTTTCTTGAAATGCATTCCCACCAAGTATGTGGCAATCTTACCTTTCCTTCCTTAATTACAAAGATACAATATTTACTATATTGCTCTGTGGTTATCCTTTCGTTAAAAATATGTCCTAGCTTTCATAGGTTTTTTTTCCCCTCAACAATCACACTTAAACACATTATTATGGTAATGAAGAGTTGACCTGAAGAGAAACTATAAATTTCTACATGTATTTATTCTCCTTTTCAAGACTAAATATTTCTGTCTTTTCTAATCTAGAGCTTGTATAACTTATTCAGCCAAATTTAAGGAATGTACCTACCCATCCCTGATTTGCACACCAATTCCAATGTAATCTAATGTGTCATCTTCAGAACCCAGTCCCCAAGAAGGAAGATTCATGTGCTGCTCTCATGAAAATTTGTCCCTCTTGATTTTCAAATCAGTAGATTCTGGTTCAAATGTGAATCCAGGTAAGAGAAAGATGAAGCCACAGCTTCCCCTGAGAAATTATTTTAGAATAAAGTTTGAAGACTTTCCATTTGATTCACACTCAATAGGCCACTATCCCTTCCCTCTTCTTCAAGAAAAAGAAACAAACAAAAAAAATAGTAGCTGCCTATTGTGAATGGTATTTAATCACATGTGTTTTGTTTGAGTTTACTGTTTTGCCTTCTGAGAAAAATGGATATTTAAACACTAGTTCAATGATGATAAAATTGACTTTTACTCTTACAAAAAGTGAAGCAATGTCATGTGTAGCAAAAAATTAAAATTTAAAATTTTTGTTTCATTATTTATTTTCTAGACAGCAACAGAAGAATTTTGTAATGTGATTTACATCACAACAGAATTATTCTTGAAAAAAAGACCTTTTAAAAATTCCCAAAAGGTCAAAGTACCACAAAATAATCAAAAGACTGCACATCATAGATAAAACACGCCAGTTGTTATAGACTTAAGTATAATTATACTTTGAAAAGAGATACATTATCAGCAAAGAAAAGATGCTTTAAGAATTCTTCATGTTTTCCAAATTGATGGACATGAGTGAGCTCTAATATCATTATGTTTAGAAATGGCTTCATCCAGATCCAATTCTACACCATTGATTTTCACTTCCATGCAGCCATTATAAAAGGCATTCACTGGTGTGGCATTGAAAGGTACATCTGTAAAAACAGAATATTCAGCTATTAGTCYAAGACTTTCTATATCTTATTTGCTTACAGTTAGAATAACTATTCAGACTTCCCATTTTCAACTAAATTCTAATCCTAAAGGAGAAATTAATAATTATTTTACATGATAATATATATTATTTCATATATATATATATATTATTATTACATTTGACATGGAATTCAGCATATCATGAGTTCCTCCAATTTTATAAACACAATTAGTTCCATCCAAACATCCAATTTTTTTTATATACCATGATAATCCTTTTTTAAAATTATTGTTGTGATAAAAATAGAATTCTAGCCAGGCACAGTGGTGCATGCTTTTAATCCCAATGTCTTAGGACGTTGAGGCAGGAGGATCCTAAGTTCAAGGCCAGTCTCAGCAACTTAGTGAGACCCTGTCTCAAAATAAAATTTAAAAGAGAGCTGGGGATGTGGCTTAGTGGTTATGTATCCCTGGGTTCAATTGCAGGTAAAAAATATGAAAAATAAAAAATAATGCAGATTTTTATATTTCCAAAGAACTAGTTTCTTAAGCATACAAGAGCAGGTCATAATAGAAGATTCACTTTCATGTAATAATGATATTGTTTTAAGCAATTTTACTAATTTCTCAATGCATAGTTTAGGTTCACCTCAGGGCCTTTGTATACTTCACTATCTCCATCAAACTAAATACTTAATACTCAATTAACACCCATGGATTCCCAAGAATTTTAAAAGCATTTCACTCTTTGTTTCCTCTTTTTTTTTGTCATGTCTTCTTCATGAATTTTAAATATCACTGTGGATATTCAGTATCTCTTATACTTCTTTCTCAATATCTTTCACCAAAAAATTCAAATTTTCTACCTATAATTTGGCATAGTGCATAAAATCCATGCTTTTCTATACATCCACAGGATATTTTAAGAATCCCTTTCAAATCTGGCTCAACATCATTGATTATTCTCTATTAAAAAAAAAAAACCTCTTACCCCTATAGTACATATAATTATTCTGTACCAATTACAAATAAAACATTATTTTTAAAAATCCTCAGAATTATCATTTTCCACTGAATTTAAATGAACATTCAATTTAATGTCTATTTTGTATATCAATAATTTAGCCATCTCATAGTTTATACTCTTAATATCTTCATTTTCAGTTTTCCTCAATTTTTCTTGTTTCTTTCTTTCAATACTTAATCATTAAAGTGAGTCCTTAGTGTTATTGCAAAGACACTGAAATTGTAGTATTTTTACATCTTTTAAATTTCTTCTTTGTTCAATTTCTTAAAATTATATTCAGCTACTTTGTGAATAAGAATGCAGGTAGTTTTCTATATAGAATTAATTCATATTATCTGCAATTATGCTTCCTAACAATTAACCATGTTAATTAAGCTACATCAAGCTAACTATGGTGGTTAATCTAGATTGTCAATCTGATTAGATTGAGAGATGTCTAGATGTGCTTCTGAGGATATTTCCAGTACGACTGGCACGTAGGACAGCAAACTGAAGTGGAGAACCCACTCTGAAATAGACTGGGGACCAGGTGAAACAAAAGACAAAAGGAAGCCTCAGCAGATGCAAACTGGATTCTTTTTCAGTGGGTGCATCTGTTGCTGCTGTCATCACCCCAAGACATTGGACTCCAGCTCCTTCACTCTTCCAACATGAACTCTCACCAGTGATTCTTCAGGGAGTCTCTAAATTGGGGCTACAATTTTGTCCTTACTGTTCTGAGAATTAAGCTCTTTGGAATGTGCAGCTACTGGTTCCTCTGGTTCTTCAGAGTGCAGATGGTCATTGTGGGTCTATCCAACTTATGACTATGTAAGCCAATCTAATAAATCCCCTTTTATAATCACATGTACACATATTCTTTTGGTTCTATTCCTCTAGAGAACCCTAATACAATCTTTCTTCCTTCCTGCCTTCCTTCCTTAGAAAACCCTAATACAATCTATCTTTCTTTCTTCCTCCCTCCCTTCCTTTCTTCCTTCCTTCACACCTACCTTTCTGCCTACCTACCTACCTATAAGTTTTGGAGCTCATTTACTTCTGTTCCTTAAAACCTCAGATAAAATTTCATATATGCAAAATTAAGACCCTGAACATATAGAGCAGTACAAAGAAGGTTACTAGAAGTTTAGACATCAAACTCAGAATTTTCCCATGAGAATAATTTGCAAATAATACTGAAAATGCTTCTAAAGAAAGCGCCTATTTTTATCATTTAAAGTAAAACATTAGTGCTAATTTTGTTTTTTCTCATATTAAGTCAAAATAAACCTGTTTTTCCAGTTTTGCTAAATGGAGTCACTCCCATGCAACTGTTCATTTCAGAAACCTAAGTTATCCTTATACCTGTCTTTCAATCATTCAATCCAATTAATTTTATTTCTTGCTTAAATCTCTATTCACTGTATGCTATCCCCCACTGACATCACTGTAGCCCAGCAGCTTCCTCAGCTTCCCAATCTGTAAAATAGGGAAACTAGTTCCCACCTCATTGACTATTTTGAAAATTAAGTAACTCAATACATTTGAAGCACTCTGAACAGTATTTAGAGTGTTTTTTTTTTTTTGCACCAGTAAATAGTAGTGTGGTTATTTCTGCAATAATTACTGCTTCTTCATCTGGACTACTCAATAGCCTCCAACTCAGTTTTAGCCACTTTTGCCTCCCATTTATTCATCTAAAGAGAAATTTTTAAGTCAAATACTGATATACCCCTTCCTTGTCTAAAACATTTTAATGATTCTAATGCATTATATATAAGACCCTGAATAAAGTATACACAAGCCTTCTACCTGTCTGCCCAGTTCATAGCCTCATCCTGCAATACCATCTCCCTTGCTCAATATGCAATACTTATACAGATCTGTGTATTTCTCAAGATGTTAACACCTTCCCACTTTACTCACACATGGATCCTCATCCCTATCATCTGGATAAATTCATTTAATCCTTCAAATATTCCATTTACATCCAGTGAGTCTCTTATTCAGAGACATTGTTCCTTAATTTTATAACCAAATCAAGACCTCATTTTCAAACTCTAAAAGAAACCCAAAGTTTTTCTTCAGAGAAGGGATCACAATTTTAATTATATTGGTATGTTCTTAATCAGTTGTTTAATGTCTGTTTCTGCCACTAGATTGCAAAAGCCTTAATATATATTTGTTTTTACTTTATCCCCAGTACCTGGGATACATGTTCTTAATAAATAATGGATAAATGATGGACAAACTAAGTATGAGTGAATAAATGTTAGATAAATAATTAATAAATAGAAGAATAATTATTGAACTTACAACACTATTATGTGGATGAAATGAAATGATATATCCTTTCTAGCTATAATAGTCAAATGGAGTAAAAAAATTGTTGAAACTGAAACTGTTCACCATTAAAAAATAATCAAACAAAAATGTATCAATAAAACATTGGTACAAGCAGCCAGGAGAAGAATGTTGAATACTGGAATTTTGCTGTCCCTCCCAATGCTTTTTTACTAAAATTAATGTAGCATCAGCTGAAATAAAAATAGAATTTTTAAAACTGACAAAAAAGTAATCAGATACCTGGAATACCACCCACGTAAGTAGCCACTGTTCCTTTCATTGCTTTGTCCAGGATGGCAAGTCGACTTTTAAAGTCTGGAGGGTAGATGATATATGTTTCAAGTGGAGTCCACACCTCCAAATTGTTTCTATTGACTTTGAAATCCAGGTGAGATTGTTGACTAGAACATAGATTTACAGCTTCTATTCGAGATACCACCACATTTTCAATAGATACTATAATATCCTGAAGAACAGAGAAGACACAATATAAGCAAGTACTAATAGTAATGCCACTTATGAGGCTTTTGAGTTTTGAAATTCAAAAACTGAATTTCAGTGGTTAAAAAATAATGTATTCTAAATTTAAGTGAAAAATTATTATTATAATAATCATGATTTTAAAATATATATATTAACTTTACAAAATTCAGGCTTAGCTAAGTTGTAAATATACACTAGCTTCTGAAAATTCCACAAACTAACAGAATTGTTTCCACCAATGAAAGGAATCTAAAGTAGTATTTTAAGCAATATCTTTGTTTGTGAGCCTTTCTAACTTAAAAACACACATATGAAAAAGAATGAGCTGAAGAGACTAGGAAAATTTTAAGTGCTTTTGTAAGTACATAACAGCAAAACAAAGGGTTGTTTGTGTCATACAAGAAATTATAGTCTGCATATAAAGTAAGTAAAAAGGCCCTAAGAAGTACATACCCACAGGTAACCTGCAGGAAGTTTCAGAGTACTGACTAGAAGATTCTCCAAAAAAGAAATGTATGCATTTTGCTATAAACTTTTCTGTTGCTATAACCAAATCACTCAACTTGTTGAGAGTGATCTATGCAGGTAGCTTATAGTGGGACAAAAGAAATATAAAAAGTAGGAGAGAGAAAATAAAATTGAAGGAAGACAAATGTTCTCAAGCTTTCCAAGTAGTAAAAGATAAGCCTGAAATGTTTCTTTAGGAAATAAAGATATCTATTTTAGGTAAAAAAATTCTATACTTCACAAATATAGGTCCTTTGAAAAAATCTGTTACAAAAGTCTGTGTTTCAAATGTCCATATCGTTAAATTCATTAAAAGAGACTCTCACTGGAGATAATGCTCCTTATGTGACAGGATAAAGAAAAAAAAGGGAATAAAGACAGGGATCATAGGTGAAAACTAATAGAGAGAAGAAAGGAATCCAGAGGGAAGGAAGAAGGGAGCATGGGGGAATGCTAGGGAACAAAAACTACCAAATTAGGCTATTTCCATTACTAATATATGACATAATTATATACATATGCATAATAATTATATGCATAATTATATATAATTATAGTGCACTCATTGAAATAATAATAATAATAATACTATAAGAGAGTTCATAGAATAGAACAAGGGAGTCAAGGAGGCCAGGAAGAGGAGAGGAGAGGGAAAGGGAAGGTATTAGGAAATAAGTTTGATCAAATTATGTTATGTAACTGTATGAATATGGTACAATGAATCCCACAAATATCTATAATTATAATGCACCAATTAAAAATTTTTAAAAAGTAATAATGCTTCAAAATCATTAATGATATGTATAATACTCTTATGAAATATTGCAAATAAATCTTGAGAAGGAGGAACCATGGAGACCAATTCAGAATAAAATAAATATAAAAGAAATGGCATGCATTAACATCCTCCATTGCATAAATGTAGTGCTGAAGAATTCTATTTTGTTTACAAAAACAAATAAAGAAGCAAATAAAAAACTAAAACCCTAATGTTCCTTGTAGGCTAGACATTAAAAAAAAAAAAAAATCCCAACAAGAACCCTTCAGCTTGCTTAATTTAACCACAGGAAATGCCCTCCAAATAATCTTTCCAGTTGCAACAGAACCATCTTTTTTTTCCATTGCTGTAGCATTATTGAATTATGTGTCTTTTTCAAAAGCTACTAATAACATTCAAACCAATTTTATCATAAACGTAAGTTGCCTGCTGAAATTTGTTGGAATCAACAGTGTATGGCACACAGACAGAACTACTAGCCTCTAATAGAAGCTTGAATAGTATGGATCTTCTTATAACTTTCATGTTTCCTTGTATCCAAGACTTTCCTTTCCTTCTCCTGATTTCAGATAAGAATTGACAGCAAGTAGTCAAGTGAACCCATCTTAGTTTTCTCTCATCTTTCCTAATTTACTCACGCGAGAAAAGATTCAGAGTGCAAGAAAGCACAAATCATCATAATTATGCATTGAATATCTAAGAGTGGATTGTTATCAGACTCATTTCTATTTTATTAGTATAGGATAATTCCCACGTGCTTCAAGGATTCTGAATAAAGATGGATCTGTACATACTCTGTGATGGCTCTAATCAGCCCATGAGTCTGCCTAATCTTAGCTATAGACATAACAGGTTTTTGAGTCTCCCCTTCTCTTACTTCTCATTTGAGATCTGAGAAATAAGCCAACAAARAGTGATTGTACCAATCACTTTATATGTCATTTAATCTTCAAAATAGCCCTTCAACATAAATATCATTATATTCATTTTAAAACACACAGACAAAAACAAGGCTCATACTGGTTTAGAGTAAAGTTACCTGAAAATTTCCAGAGCTGGAGTCCACTAAGGACAAGGCAAAGGGCACTGTGTTACCAGAAACTAAGGCAAGCATTACACCAGTGCCTGTGGATGGTCGGATACTCAAGGTCACATTCACTTGCCAGTCTTCAGCATTGGTTATGTTATCTGCTTAAAACAATGAAACAGAAGCCAGATCAATGTACTTCTAAAGTGCACCAGAGAAAATCTATTATAAAATTATTAATATTCAAGGATGGTTTGTGTAATACTACAGGTCTAATTTCCTTTCTCAATGAACTATCTAAAATAGGTAAAATAAATTTTTTTAAAAACACAGATCAGAAACACACCAGTGGAGCCCCATTCTTCTATTTGTCCTAGAAGAAAATTCAGATTGTGGTGTTAAGATCTTTTATGAGTTTTCCCTATTGACTCCTTAACAGCTCTTCCTTCTCTCTTGCATATTCACCAATGTTCAAATTTCAGAGTGGTCATGTTTTAAAGTGCACATTTAGAAGGATGTTCTGAAGATGCATTGGAATATTTCTGCCAGAAAACTTGGGTCTAGCTGCCATAATCACCAATAGTCCTCCTTCTAGGACACTGGAAAGGACAAATATGACTCTACACACATGAGGGAGGTACATGGTTTGATAGAAAAATACTGTGAAATCAAAAGTTAATGAAATCAGAAGAGAAACTCTTGTTCTCTGATTCCTCTGTTATCATACTTCATCATTTTTTCTTAATTACCAGGTTAATTGTTCATCAGAGTGAAGGGCAAGCTACAGGAGGTACATGTCTCTATAATTACTTTGTTTTCCAGAGTAGAATATCAATAAATATTTGTTAATATGTTTCCAAAGTACAGGAACAATTACATAAGTACCGTTCAGTCAATAACAGGCCACACATAAAATGATGGTCCCATAAAATTTTTTTCTTAATTTTTTTTTAGAGAATTTTAATATTTATTTATTTATTTTAGTTTTCGGCGGACACAACATCTTTGTATGTGGTGCTGAGGATCGAACCCGGGCCACATGCATGGCAGGTGAGCGCGCTACTGCTTGAGCCATATCCCCAGCCGGTTCCCATAAAATTATATCAGCTGGTGACATAGTAGCCAGTATAGTTTGTGTAAATACATTCTACAATGTTCACAAGATGACAAAAGCACATAATAATGCACTTCACAGAAGATATCCCAGCCATTAAGCTCCGAAATAGCAACCTTAACTAACATTGAGAACTGCAGTTGAATTGCTAAAAAAATTACTCAGTGCCCTTGAAAGGGGGTGAATATTAACAGAAAAATAATTTTCCTTTGTCAAGATGTTCTCCACATGCAATGCCACTGTATTTAATGAAATAATCTTATAATTATAATGCCACTGTATTTAATGAAATAATCTTATAATTATAATGCCACTGTATTTAATGAAATAATCTTATAATTTCCATCCAGAATATATATATATATATATATATATATATATATATATATAATTATCATGAAATAAGTAAAATTCAGCAAGGGATAGTAACAAACTCAAAATAAAATTAATATTGAAATACACAAAATTTATAATGTAAAATTAAATATTAATTATAAAGTAGGTACTTTCCAAGTTATCCATGAAATAACTAATTTTTTATAAAGGTAATTTTTTTCAGGTATGCCATAACTCTTATTTTCATTTGCTTATCAGGATCCCCCCCCCATATTCATTCATCAACCCATTCAAAATATTTTTTGAAAATTTTGTACATGCAAAACAAAGCTAAAGTTAAAGGCATTGTATCAATTTACATTAGGAAAACAAATCATTGGTAAATATTTTTAAGTTACAAATAAACATTCAGATTATATTTTTAAACAGTGATATTAAGATAGATTTACCTAACTTAATTTATAGTGCAAAGGGATAGTAGCTATAATAATAAACTCTTAACAAAGAAAAAGACAATCAAAAAAATAAAATGTACAAATAGTAATAAACATGAAGAGATATTCATCAACAGTACAAATTAGAAAAACAATATTTAAAATAACACAAAATAATCAGTTTTTGAACGGTTAGATTGGAAACAGATTCCAAGTAAAAACTTTCTCCTTATTTTGGTAAACATATTAATTAATATAAAGATTTTTGGAAGAGAATGTAATTAAACCTATGATAATTATATATTTGCATGACCTTTGATGATGATATCTAAGATGCTTTCCTAAAGAATTAACCACATAAAGATTATAGGATGTATGCTCATGGATGTTCACAGAAGTTTTATTTGTAAAGGTAAATATGAGTCAGTCTGGGAAACCAACGTGCTCCATTTAGGCTATAGAAGCTTGAAAGGGCACTATTCCCACTTCAATAATAACAAAAACCATATTATCTGTATGATCACAATTTTTCTTGAACTAACAAAAAGTTGAAGTTGCAGAGCAACCAACTAATCAAAACATAAAGAAAGATGCATCCAAGGAGAGATGAGAACAAATTCTTACCCAGAAAGACACTGGATACCACACAATTGGGTAAGAATAATTTAAAAAGTTGCAAAATAATAAAAGTACATGCATGAAATGGTGTGAGAGAATGGAAGTCCTAAGAACTGCAGACAAAAGGAAAATTGATACCCCATCCTTAGACTCTTTTCCATGGACCTTACTGGGTCCTCAAAAAAAGGGGGGGGGCAGGGAAAGAAGCTAAAGAAAGCCTTCCCCTAGCACAACCTTGGGGTCAATGTTAACTTCAGGAAAGGTACAAAATCACAATCTAGAGCTTTCTATGTTTCTTCTACATAGGAAGAGTTTTAAAGCACTGGAGAAAAGGAAAAAAAATATTGTCATTAGAATACATATAAAGACCCATAGCACCTACAGATTAGGGAAAAACAAACCAAGGAAACCTACCATGGATATGGAACAAGGAAACGTTTTAAGTACTAACCATTAGACACTTATCTTACTGGTAGGGGAAGCAATGAAAAGTCCATACCACTGACACCCTAGGATATAAAGATAATTAAAACTGAATCTGTTTCAGAACAATAGACAATATTCCACTGACTTCCAAGCCGTTTCAACCATGTTAACAAATTTCAAGAAACAAGTACGAACATTCTGCTGGTGGTGAGCAAGACCATGAAGGRATATTTCTTGAAACATATAATAAAGCAAATATCTAAAATTGAGTCACTATTATGAAAAACTTAATAACTGGTCAGTCATGAAAATATTTTTAGCAACCTACCCCCTACCTTTTGCAGAAGCTCAATTGTATTAGCACATTTTCTGTTGCTATTAAAAAATACCTGAAGATAGTTTGTTGGGTACAYAGTTTTAGAGGTTGAAAATCCAAATAGGATGACGCCAGCTTTGGTGAGGGCTTCAATGCAAATGGCATCAAGGAAGCAGAGTGTGTAAGAAGGGGCAAGAGCTCATGAGAAGATATGAGCCCAGAGAAGTGGAGAGCCAGTTTTCCTTTTTTGTTAAAAACCATTCCTTGAGAACTAACTCATCTGATTCTACTCATCACTAGATTCAATCTCTCCATAAAGGGCTTTCAAAAGAAGAGGTGTGCTCATTTCTAGATATATGTAGCATTTACCTCAGTCTCTACAGTGCTGTGTAAAATGCCCACCTTATCTATGCTAAAAAAATACGTAATACACCAAGACATGGGAAATGCAACAGTCAATCAAGAGACACAATAGTAAACATGCCAGACTCATCTATGACATAGATGTTGGACTATTAGGGAATTTTAAATAATTGTGGTGAATGTGTTGAAAGTGTGGGTGGACAAGCTAGACAATGTGTATGGACAGATTGACAATTTCAGTATTTTAAGGAATTATCAAATGGAAATGTTAGAAATGAAGATGAATCCCTTTGATTAACTAATTGAAGACTCAAAACAACAGAAAAATCTGAACTTTAAGATACATCTATCAAATCTACCCAAAATTAATCAGGCTATGTGCCAATAAACTGTAAATAATAACATAAGCATATTCAACTGCCTTTATATATGTATTAATATTCCAGAAAATTAAGTATATAACAGTACAAATAAGTCTATGCCTGACACATAGTACTCAAGAAAGTTTACTGAATAAATTATAGCTGTCTGTCAATAAATAAATTTAGTTACCAATGAGAAAAGAGAAATAAAATGAAAAATCACTTACTATAGTCTATGTTAAATTGAGCAACTCCAGAACCAGGATAGTAGGAACCCTTCTCCACAGTGACAAAGCAATGTTTATTTTGTTTTTCTTGAATGATCTCCTTTACTCCTAAAGCTCCTTGATTCATCAAATTCCAGCCTCTTATACATCCATCTAGACGAGGGTTAATCTAACAAATCAAAATACAGGTCAGAAATACATTTTAAATTAAAGTCAGACATAAATATACTGATTCAAGGTATAGGTTTCATTTAGATGAAAAACTTTTTCTCGATTTTTAAAGTATTTTAAATATTTTGAATTTAATCTCAAATTTTTTTGAGACATTTTTCACATGAATAGTCTTTGGACCAAATATGTTTTTTTTAAATTTTTTAACAGCTGAGTATGGACTAYTATGATGTTAACAGAAAATTGACATTTGAGGATTTTAAAAAATCTACTTCTCCATGAGTAATTCTGGGGACTTAAATGGGCAAAAAAACCCACAACAATCTAAAAACACACCAATCGTTTTCTTATTTCCTTATTCCCTTAATTTCAAGAGTCACTAATATTATTTTTTTCATATTCAATTCAAGTTGTCACACTTAGATTATTTAATAAAATAACTTCTGTTGATTTTGGGGGAAACAAATCTTCAAACCTATTATAGACAAAAGGAATTCATCCATGATAAATGACATAAGTTTGGATCATTACCGGTTTAATGAGTGCATTTTCTACTTTCCGAGGTAATCCTGCAAAGTATATTTTGGTTTCCCGAAATCCATTTGTAGGTTTAAAAAGGGACCCTGGCTTATTTATATTCATCACAGCTTCTTTAGCTATTTTAATGCTGATGCTGTGTTCTAATTCTTCCACAGACACCTACAATTAAAAACAAAAAAAATCATTAAACAAGCAAGCATTGCTACATGTCATTTGAAATACTAGACTTAAAATCCTATTATTCCAATAAAAAATTTAAGTACTTATTTTAATGTAATTATTAATTTGTTTCAACCCATTTGGAAAGTCGAATCATGATTAATATGACAAAATGTGTTTTAAAGTGATAGTACTTGATTAAAAATTAAATGTATATCTTATTTTCAAGTTTAAAAAATCAATATTACTAAGTTTAAACATTCAGTTATAATATATATTGTTAAAACTAATATGTCATAAAATTAAATTTTTAAAATAAAAGCAAGCCACTGTATTTTAGGAAAATTTTGAATGTTCTCATTTTGCAATTTTAGGATAGTACACATTGAAACAATAATGCAAATAATTTCTTTTTTTCCACATCTTCATACATGTATTTTGTATAATGATAAGGGTCTCCTTCCACCATCCATGCTATAAACTAAGAGAATATATATATATATATATATATATATATATATACACACACACACACACACACACACACAAACACACACACAAAGAGAATCATTTTTCCAGTAGTGTGTTCAAAACCCCCAACATACTTTTTCTCCAAAATTCAGAGGTGACTAAAGTTATAAGAAAGCATATACATAAAATTAAAATGAGATTTTATAATTTTGAAAGCACTTAGGTTTTAAGAAATGGTTGGAAGTGACAGTAAACAATAAAAAATTCTCTTAGGAAGATAATTTGAAGAATCAATGATGCAATTGCCTCATGTAAAACTGTTTAACATTCAGGATGTAAACTGTTCACTTGCTAATCAATAACAGAAGGCAAGTAATAGATGTATTAAACACCACTACAGGAAGAGAAATACTACCCTCAAAAGTAAAACTAATTTAGTAACATTACAGGGTTAAGTTGGTCAATATTCTGTCCTTAATATGTCCAAACAGCAGCATTTTCCTCTAATGACTATTCCCTTCTTCAAGGAAGTGCTTGACTCATGTCCTCAGCCTTTAGGACCTGAGTTTCCTTTCCTTCTCCTACATTCTTGCAATTCCTTCTAAGTCCTCCTGGCTGGATCCCCTTCCTCTTAATTTCTAGTAAAAAGCTCTAGGCTTGAGTCCCTAGACCTTTTCCATCTAATCATGCAAGTAATTTAAATAAGATTTTATGGGACCCAGTCTACAACATTTGGAAAATTTGGGGGATGGGGAGAACTTTTACTTGTCACAACAAGTAGGAGACAAGCTGGCATTACAAGGTTCTAGGCACTATGCAATATACAGAATAATTATGCAAACTAAGTAACAAAATACCCAGGATCTTAAATCTTCTGAACATCTCCATTAAATATTCATGTAGGGAATCCTAATGTTTATTATTATCTGAACTAAACACAACATATTTGTTGCAACATGTTAACATTCATTTTTTTAAAGAATGCAATAATCTTGTCAACCAACAATAGTGATGTTTGTTTTATTTATATCTTTATCAACTTTCTCACCATTTTGGAAAATTAGTATTATTGATAACAAAATCATCTATGCACTTATGGTATTCAAGTTGGTAACATAATACCCCAGTATAAATCTTCATTTGTAGCTTTCACACTATTCTATGTATAGAAGCAAGCTTTGAAAACTATTAGCTGTATTTAAATAGTTACAAATTGATATGCATATTATTTTATTATAAATTACCTTTCCTGAGACCAGACTGGAGGAGGAAGTCCGGCACCAAGCCAGACCAGACTGGAGGAGGAAGCCCAGCGCCAAGCCAGACCGGAGGAGGAAGCTCAGCCCTGCCCTGCGTGCTAGTCCAGAGGAAGCCCATCAACCCTTAAAACCTATCAAAGGGGGCGTGGCTACCAGCAGGGTTCTGCGGCTGATCCAGGTACCTGGTTTTCAACTCCCCCACCCTTAGCTGCTATAACTCAAAATATTTCCCACAAGCTTTTGGGGGGTGTAGCAATCAACGCAAAACAACAACTGTACAGACACCTGGTTTCCACCTCAGAGACTAGAGTAAGGAGGATACAGGTAGAAGCTCATATCCTTTCACACTGGCTATATCCACCACCCTGAACACAGAGGCTCAAGCTAGGAATAGACATCGCCACCTACTGGAAGAAAGGAAAACAGAGGTCTGAGAGACTTTTTTTTTCTCTTTCTCTCTTTTCTTCTCTCTCACAACCTCAACATATGTGAAACCAAGAACTGCGCATGAACAACTGAATCACCAAAATAATATAATATAGAGGAATTGCATATGCCCCACCTTCCCATTTTTTCCTTATTTCTTTCTTACTTTCTTTTTCCTTCTTCTTTTTTCTCTTTTCTTCTTTGCTATTTTTTTTTT